GTCGACGGGGACCAGCTAAACTGTGCCTTAAAATGTTCTGCCCAACGTTCAAGACGGCGTTCCTGAGTTTGAATCAGTAAGCCGTCAGAATCCTTGATTACGTTACCTACGCGTACTTTCCTTGGTCCTGTACTCATTATTAAATGAATAAGATTGCGACTATTACCGATAACTGCAACCCTCTTCTCTACACTCTCTACACTTCCCTACCCACCACTTCTCGCGGTTGTTCCTCAGACTCTTAATGAGTTGGCGTTTAAGAGATTTGCGCGCTTTGTCGTATTTTGAATCCGAAGGAATGGCTTTGCGAGCGTCCAGCAAGTCAACCGAGTTCGGGGAGATCCACCATTTTTTATTCGATCGAGCGCCAGAATTTGCTGATGTTTTGATGGACGTTTGGATCGCTTCTTTCATTAAAGTCCAGTGTTCACTGAGTCCTCCGGATAACGGTTGAGCTGAGAGACGATCTGATAGCTCCGCCTCGAAGGCCGATTAGCAACCGTGCTGACAATGTATCGTGGGCATCCTTTTTCGGTGACGTTTCTGTGGTTGTTTACTAGAAGAAAGGAGATTCTCGCTCGTAGTAGAGCATAGTCTGTGTCTACGGGTGCTGACCAGTATAAGCGACAGTCTTCAATGAGTCCTTGCCAGCGATGACTGATGGCGATGTGGTGGATTTGAATCTACCGCTATGAAACGATTGGCGGTCTCCATGTAAGGCGGTGTCGTTTCTTGTGAGAAGTTGGTGCTTGACAGAAACGGTCCGTGGTCAGCGCAAAGTTGGAGTGGGCGTTCTCCGTTGTCAGTCCGGTTGGCTGGGATTGCATGTGAACCCCCAAGTAGTCTTTCTGATTCATCTATGGATCCCATGTGAGCAGTGAAGTCTCCAGCGACTACCACGATGTCCGTTGACCGAGCACTTTTGAGCAGTTGGGAGGGGTTGTTGTAGAATTTGTCCCTCATCTCTGGCGAACTGCAGTCAGTCGGTGCATACACGGATACGACGAATAAGCATCGATACTTCGTTCTCTAGCTGTTGACCCGTACTGAACCATCCAGACGTACGGTGCAGTCGGCTGTTAACCGGGATCCAATCGAGAAGTGAACGCTCGGCCTTGATACTCAGCGCAATCCCAATATCAGCAACACCGCGAGATTCGAATGCCGAATCGCCTGACACACAGAGAGTGAAGCGTGAGGATGAGGTTGGATCTGGAGAATGCAGGGAGACGATTGAAGTAGGGTCTTGTATGCGCGTTTCGGAGACACAGGGTACATCTAAACGGAAGGCTTCAAGGGTTCTAGCTAAGGCTGTTTGTTGACCGATCTGGTAGAGTATACGGATATTAAATGCGGCTAAGTGAAAGGGAGCTTCTCGTTGAAAAAATCTGATAGCCTCTGAGTGTTTGATCTCATTAGTCGAAAGTTGAGTGATATCCCAAGGGTGGCGCAAACCGGATGCATAACCTAAGGTTTGGGAGCGAGAAGAGGAAATGGAGAAAGAAGAAAGGGGTAATCTAAATGGGTACCTAAGACTTTGGGGCACGACATACTTCGCGGCAGCCAACACCGACGAAGATTTTTTCTTTGGGCACCCTAACCGGATCCTTTGACCCACAAGGCAGTGAGGCGTAGATCCGACGCGGGAGCGTGAATGAAGCACTCGAGCGGGAGCTTCTTGAGACCTGTCATGCAAGGCCTTTGAATTTCGGTTACTTTTGTTGTTCACTGATGCGTTGGTTGACGATCCGCTTTTCTGGATAGCCTCATTCACCCAATGAGACAAGCGCAACGGGACAGCAATTTACTGGCTGGGGGCTGTCCAGCTCGGGCGGGCGGTAGCTGTCTAGTGAAGTGCGAAGACTTATCCTACCGTCAAGAGGAAGCCCCATGTACCCCGCTCGTACGTCCATCTGGCGGGGTTTGTTTGCCCGGGACACTGACCGTGTTTATTTGCTAGAGTGACCTCTCCAGGGGCTGGAGTGAATAGTCATGGCAATACAGGTGCCCAAGCAGCTGGTCGCGTGAAACTGATCTTCGTCTGGCCTCTACCCATTGACCTTTTATGCATGATTGAAGCTGCGACTGGGAGGAGCCATCCTGTGTAGCTCACAGGGTCATGGAGGCATGCAAGCCTTCACAGAACGTCAAGGTGTAGCCTCGTCGTGATGGAATTAAAATTGGGTTTGCGCTGATCTTGCCGCAGACCGAGGAGCGTGGGTAGCTGAAAATCGGGATATCCATGAAGCCGGCTTATCCTGTCCCAGGAGCCGGCGGCCGTAATGTAAAGTAAAATAGTTCTGAACCAGTGTGTTATGTTATGTTATGTGTGACACGATGTCGATCTACTGTGAAGAAATGCAGGAAACAGGTAAGAAAGCCACCAAGTGCCAAGGAGAGGAAACAATACACGAATATATGATTGTAAATCTTTTCTAAAGCTGAGATAAAATACGTCACATTGGTCTCCTACAATGACCTGCGCAATGGGCTCGCTTACTAGCCCACTAACACTTGCACCTGTAGGGTGACGACGGTTTTTCTCAATAATAATTTATTTGAGGGAATGATGATAGACAGCAGTATTTAGCGTGCTACGAAGGCAATGCAGATGTGGTTAATCGGGCATCAGAGTGCGGACATTTTTATCATGAAGCAGCTCCATGAAACTGCGACTTTCACGCACTCCAATGCACAATGAAGACGCAACGAAGTCCCGGTACTTTAGTAAGCCAGTGAATTGAGGTGGTGTTAAGGTGGAGATGGCTTTGGCTCAACTCCAAGTACCTGAAAGAAATTTCTCTATCTATACGGATCAGACGTGGATTCAGTTGCTAAATCGGGGTTCTACTGGAGGAGAACCGCGATTGAATGAGCTACTGTGTTCGTAGATGACCTTCGAAAAACAGGCATTTGAAATGGATAAGCGTAAACTCACTCGAACTTGATGCGTCTTACGCCTCAAATAGGCGGTCGCTTTGGATTGCAGAGCGGTGGATTTGGTCAACTGTTTCAATAGTGCCGTGTTCTGAGACGAGAGACGTGCGATATCCAATGACAATTGGTTGGCCATTTCTTCGTCGCTGGTCAAATTCTGTTAAGGGGAACCGATGATGATTGACATAACAGAGCACAACTGGAAGGGTTTGGTGGAAACCGAGCACAAAACACAACGGTTTATGATATCGAAAAACTTACGTGCATTTGTTTGGTCAACTCCTCTAGTTTGGCGGCAAAATTAGCTGTGCCTGGAATGAAAACAAGAGAAGGAACCACAGCTGGCGATCACATTTTGGCAAACGTTTTCATAATACTTGGTCATACTAATGTTCGTTAACTGATAATAAAAATACTGTGATGAAATGGATGAACAGAGAAGAGAAATAATATCAGTATACGAGACACCGAATANGGGGGGGGGGGAGTAAAAAGATTCACTCCACTTGACAATGCCTGACTGAAATAGTCGGAGATTAGCTGACAATGGGAATCATGCTCTGCTGGTTACGAACTATCTGCACACAATGAGATATGCATGTGAACTGGTTTCGAATCTGTTCAATGCAAACTGAGTCAACCGAACAACCCTCTCTATCGTAAGACCACCTCAGTTCGCACGAAAATTATCACGCGTACAAGATCGAAAACAGAACTAGTGCGAAACGAAACGCAAAAGCAATTCACCATGCAGACAGGGGCCGATTTAAGTTCACGGCCGGTAGACAAAAAGGAAAATTAGTGATCTTCGCCTACGGTCCGAATATTTTTGGTGGTCCCGCTTTCGGTTGTTTGGATGGGCGCCACAGGATTATCGAAACCGGTGATAAGAGACACAGTGATATGGCTGAGAGTCGTAAACACTGGTGTTCGTGAATCTACTCATTATCCTTGCAACCTTAGTCCATGCGAATTATCTATCTTCTCTTAAACTCTGTTCACAACATCACAGCCTTCCTTCTGTGCTTTTATCCGAATGGGCAGTCATGGAACAGCAACCAAAACCGGCGCAAAAAATTGCATCGTCAATGTTTGTAAAAACTGAAATGGACCGAACTATCGTCGAAAACAGCCCAAAAAGCAACCAAAACGAACGTATGGAAGTCCGATGATTGAACAAAAACGGAAATTGACTTGTTCTGACATGTGCTTAGGATGCGACAGTAGCCACCGGCTCAACAGATAGCTGAGACAGATTGACCTGTGTGGGTAACAAAAAACGAGCTATCCCGGTAGGACCCGATCGATCATTCGATTGGAGAAAAGGGCGACAAATGAACTTGGTAACAAGACCGATTTCAAACAACCGTTTTGTGAAAGCTGAGCGTCTCACATCGACTTCATATCTTTGTGAGTACATATGGAGTATATTCGCTCTCTTTTGCTACCAAGAATTTGTGCTGGGTCCACTCCATCGGATGTACGGCAGGGGGGTTATCGCCCTGATAGAGAATAATCGACTTGGACTTAGTCTCTACTACCGCATGAGATCAACAGTCGACAACACTCGCCTTGTGCGTTTTCAGTCGTCTGGTTAGTGGCTTCGGGTTATTCTGTGGTCTCACGTGTGTGTGTGTGCGACTCGACCGACGAGGACCAGCTTTTTATCCTACTTCGTTCTTGTCCCGTGATTATATCTGCATGTGTGTCGCTCACCCTCAGACATGTGATGCAGGTTGCCCGATCGTTTTTACTGGCCTGTCTGCCTCGGTATCCTAGATTTATGCGTAGATTGATCGCTAGAATAGTGAACGGAACTGCCAGCACTCTTCGAACCTCCCAATAGTTTTCATATACCATCGCTTTTGTGGTCGGTGCATGTTCACATCAACTGATGTACCAAATTCCTGTCTCATTTATCTTCTGACTAGTGCATGGAACACAATGAGAATTGTACTGAATCCTCTCGGACATAGAATGATCAAGGGGACAGTATTTCTGAGTGTTTTTCTCTTGTTTATTATAATTCATGCGGTGCACGAGGATCACTGTTTATGACACTCAGTCATATCACTCGGTGACTCTAACCAATGATCCCAATGTTCCCATCCAGGAAGCCTAAGACTTGTGTGAGGAAGTCTCGTGGTCAGGATTTCCATACCCTAATGCCGGGTTTGTGTTTGACCACCCTTTACTCCTTTCCACTAACACCTGTCTTGGCAATCAGCACGCGCTGTGGCAATCTATTTGGTGACATACGCAAAACATGCTGCAAGCAAATTAGTCTATGGAGGTCGACCACTTGGTTCAGGGGCGACCGCGGTCATCTAAAACTGTGCGTCGAACCTCATTTGAAGCTCAACGAAGCGGTTACCACCAATAAAAAGGCCAGAAAGCTTTAAAGAGTGAGGGTCTATTCAAAGGGCTGTTGTCTGAGAATGTTGGAAATAGAATAAGCCAAAGACAAAATCGGTGAGCCTAAGAATGACATAGTTGTTCCACACCCGTCTCAGTGTGCGTTCTAAATCGAACAAAACCCATTGATAATTTCAGGTAGGATATAAAGCGACTCTCCCGTAGACACTGGAAATATCATTTATTGTGGCCTTCACGTGTCACGGACGATGATCAACCACCATGGACGTATACTGAATGCAAACGAAGGTCATCGGAGTACTGTGCAAAGTGAAATTCGGTCGTCTGATGGCATCTCACCTGACTTCGGGAATCATGAGCATAATCATAGTCGGTTTGTAGGTATGTGCGCGATTTGCTCCGGTCGAGTGAGGTTCCTGTTGTTTGACCAACCGGGTGTACTAACTGTTGGCTTAAACACTACTTGTCGACTGAGATTCGAGATAGAATTAAACATCGTCACGAGAGAGTCATAAGCTCATTAAAAAGACAAACATAAATGAGTACGTCCATTCGGAACCCATTAACATGCTGATCCTGTCGGGAGGATGTAAAGGAAAGCTCGCGGACGCTGCGGGGGAGATGTACAACGGGGATACATTGGTATGCTAGTCCAGAGAGTAGATACAGCAGTTCAGTGCAGAGCATGTGCCTATTTAATCATACTCGCAGAATGTGATTGATATGCATTGGAAGGTCAAGACGATTTAAATTTGAGTGGCAACAGATGGTAAGACACGTGATTTCGTTCGGTCGATCACATGCCACATTCATTCGTTAGAAATCATCGAGCCAGTCAGATACACATGATAGGAAAGGAAAAAATATTTTCAGAAGGCAGCGCTGAAAGAGGCTTTAACTGGGCTGATTGTTCCGACGTTTACTTTAAGCGTTCCGATAAGCGATTGGAATACTAAACAAGGAACAATATTATTCCCTCTTTCTCGGATGAAAAGTTAAGTGTTTCAACATGCTAATCAAAAGCGCATATTCCCAATTGATAATCCTGGGGAACCTAACACTAACGTTGATCAGCTTACAGAGTAACGCGCAATTTCACCACTTTGGAAAATTCACAAAGCGAGCACTCTAGTTATCTTTGATAAACATTGTGATCCAGCTTTACATGTGGCAGGGGATTTCAGGCGATTTGCCCATACTTGAGGCACACTAAGTCGATTTTGTGGAAGAAAACATGAAGACTATCGAGGTTATGGTAAAATGTGGTTCTTCTTGTGACAGTCGATTCTATCGTTTGGGGATAGGCCTCGAACTTTAGCATAGCCGACTGCTATTTGTAAGGTAATGCGGTGGAGGCGATGTCCTTGGTTGTTGTCTGATCCAATTCGAACATATCACGACGCTTTCCGCAAACGCTTGACTTTTTGTTGCCAAGTGAATAATCGAAACCGCCTCAGATGCCGTCGATGATAATCCGCGTGCTATTTAACAGAACGTTCTCGTATTCGGGACCTGGTAGTGTGCAGCTCCTTCAACCGGTAACAGTTGGATAGATGTGACAATACAGGAGGAGAATTACCGATTCGAGGCCTGTATTGCACTGGCAAATAGGGAAGCACTTCCCTCCAGAACATGAGCATTGATTCCCGGGCGGCCAGAAGGACGTGGCACAAATGTTGATGGATGTTGCATGCCAGTTGAACTCGACTGGTCTAAAACAATTAAACACAATGAGGGAAGCCAAGTAGAATGGGAAACAGCGGCTCTGAGTATAGATGTTAAACAAAGCCTAGCGCAACACGCTGCAATTCGCTATTGGAACTTACGTGAAAAGAACAAAAGCTCTCCTTGATAGTGGAAAGGCGAAGGAGATGAAATGAGATATCACGAGAGGAGATAAAGAGAAGAAATTGCACTGTGTGCATTATTATTTATTTGGAGCACTAATTGATCAATCGAATAAATTACACTGCTAGAAATAAAAATGAGGAAAGTTGTTATTGTTGTTGGGGCCATACAATCGGAAACGATAAACTGATAAACAAACCGACAATAAACAACGAATGAATTTGCCTCCAAAAATGATGATAAACGAATGCGATGAACAAAATGATATCTATTTCAGTCTAATTGGACAGGAATTCATAGAAAAACAATGGAACAAAAGAATTGAGCCAAATCAGGCCACTTTATCCCACCCGAGCATTATTACTGTCATCAAGAGCAGCACCAATGGAGATTGTTGCACTCACACAACACACAACCATACGTAACACAAAACACGTTGCATTTTGCCATCTATTCCATTTGATCTTATTAATAAGACAGAGCAAGGGAAGGAGAAGGATCGAAATCAGCGAACACGTGACCAACAAATGCCATCCATCTCTGTCTGATAAACCACTTCAATTCCAGTAATCTGAGATAAACGTTCAGAAAGAACGCTGATTGAATGAGTGTGGCGATTACCACAGCTCACTGAACGGAAACAATATAAGAAAACAATCCACGGAT